ATGTGGAGGAAATTTGTGTAGTGATGTGAATGATGATTTTAAAATCAAGTGTGTATATATCATTGTCATGTGGAAGACTGAGAAGAAATGCGTAAGAGATGGTGAACATGTTGTATGATTGAACATAATTTAGCTTATCCATCACAAAATGGCAGAAATATTATCATTCTGTTTTTAAGGGACATACCATTGATGACCTCAATTATAGATACAAAAACTCCTGACCAATGTTTTAAAATCAAATTAATGCTGTTTTGAAAAAATGAACATCTAGATTTCAACCTTCTATTTTGATAATCATGGTCCATACCTAGGTGATAATCACAATGATAACTGTAATTTATTAAGGAAAATCCCAGTACAAGTCTGGCAGATGCAACTTACAGATTAAGGCACACAATTTCTAGTAATGGAAACTGATTGCCTATAATATGTAATGCAAATTTTATTTCAATCTCTCAATCTCAGTAAGGCAATATTAGCACACAAAAAAGGTGTTCATGGAGCTGCTTTCCAAGATGACAAAGGGGGAGTATCTGCATTTTTCCAAGTATCCATGTAATCAGATGGATATCGATCGCCCTTGATAGCACCGGCTGAAGCAATAGATTCAAGCGCAGACATGTCTTCTTTCGTCAGTTTTACAGACAATGCTCTTATGTTGTCATTGAAATTCTCGATTTTCGTAGTACCGGGGATTGGACATACATCACTTCCTTGATGATGTACCCAAGCCAAAGCTAGCTGTGAAGGGGTGCATCCCTTTTTATTTGCCATATCCTTCAACCTCTCAAACAGTCTCGTATTGTGCTCCAAATTCTCCTGTTGCATTCTTGGTACTAACTGCAAGAATTGTAAAGCGTATCTTTTAAACTCATTAAGTATAGCCACACGAAGTAAAAAGAGAGTGAGACCATATACTAGTGTTACTGTTAAATTTGAAGCTCAGAAGTGGTCAAAGTATAAAATATACATACCTTTCGAAAGTCCCCTTCAGAGAAAGTTTCGACCACTTTCGGACCAGAGGACAAGAATCCCCGTCCAAGAGGACTGTATGCTACTATTCCAATGCCAAGTTCTCTAAACAATTGAACCAAGGATAGAGTTAGAAATTTATATATTGCTTACTGGCTCAAAGTAAAAGTAAAAAAAATGATCAAATTAATTATCAAACCTGCAAGTGGGAATTATATCTTCCTCCACATCTCTTGTCCACAAAGACCACTCCAACTGCACGGCTGTTATTGGATGAACAACATGTGCTCTTCTGATAGTTGAAGCTGAGGCTTCCGATAGGCCTATATATTTTAACTTACCTTCTTCCACTAGTTTCTTCAGTTCTCCCATCTAGCAGAAAGTGAGATCAAAAGAAACAAGGAAAGGCTTAAGTAAGAAACATATGTCGACCATACAAAAGAGAAATCTATATGATCTTACGACACTAAGTTCATCAAATAACCTCAACCTCAGGAGCAAGTTAAGGTTTCTCTAACAAGAACAGGAGAGGAGAGCGATGACACAAGGGCTTATAGTGTTTTGACCAACCTAGAAAATTTAAGGAATAGTAATATTTTTCAGAAATCGAATAGATTCAAAAGGTAATCAAAAAATTAATTGATGAAATTTCGAAGTTTTTTCTTTGGCCTCATTATCAGTTAGATGATTTAACTTGTATGAATTGCTGTTGGTTTGATATCAATAATGGCAATCATTTAGTAAGTCAAGGATACTATTATGAAATATATAAATACAAAGGAGAATAAAGGGCTAACCGTGACTTCAATAGGCACACGTGTATCAATTCGATGTTGGTAATAAAGATCAATGCAATCAATATCAAGCCGCTTCAAACTGGCCTCACAGGCCTCTCGTACATAGGCAGGGTCTCCATGTGTGACCATCTGCCCATCCTCAAATTTAATCCCAAATTTTGTGGCCAACTCTACTTTCTCCCTCATGCCATCCTTCAATGCCTATGTAATTTGAGGCAAACAGTACATAAACATTAGACATTTATGAATTACACATGCGATTATAAGAAATCAAGAACTATAACTATATAAACAAGCTAGAGAAAGATCCAATAACAGTGTTCTGCAGACTATACTTGAAAGATTCACTTTCTCCAGCAATATGAAAATCAGGCAGATTATTCAATCAATGGATAGTGCATAAATAATGAAATTAAAACAGCTAAGGTGCCATCAGAACTCCATCCCGCGATGTCACACGTGAATATATGCATTGTTATAGATAACATTCTCGTAATATTAAGGTAAAATTTCTCATCACTTAAAAATAAAAGTAACAATTAAAATGGAGGGATATAATACTTGACCTTATAAAAATGATCAAAATGGAGGGATATAATGATTGACGTCATAAAAAGCAACTCCAAGATTCAAAAGATGTACTCACCCAAATTCCTATTGGGATTAGGATTGGGTTGGTTAATAATAAAAGGAACAAAATTCTTCTTGGTTTAGAAGTCCGGTTGAAAACGGGATCAAAGTTCATTAAGGATTGAAAGTTTGATTAGTAAAAAAACTTTGGATAATTAAAGACTTGATTTTGAAGTTTTGAACAGTAAGTCAATGCCTAAGCGCTTGGTTCAGGATGCCCAGAAGAAACTATGAAATTTGGCCCGAAACACAACACTAGGCACCATGGTCGCTGCGCTCAAGTGCCGCAACCGCCGCTCGACTACCACTTGAGCGACATTGTTATCTGGGCAAAGTTCATTTTCGATTCTGAGTTTGCTTCTTAAGTTGTAATTCATCCAAAACACTTGTAATGAGTTCCTATATATACTCAACGTGATGTATCATCTGCATAACACGGCAAAACATTGTATAACATTGAGAGAACATCAAAGTGAGAGGATCCTCTAAGTTATTGAGAGAGAGGCTTGCATATTTTGAGATACGTTGAGAGTCCAGATCTTTTTGTACTTCTTTGCAATTGATTACAGTGAATTCTCCGCCTCTACCGGTGGTTTTCCCATATATGGGTTTCCACAAGTTAAATCTTTTGAATTTAATATTCATAACAAGTGGTAGAAGTTCAATCATCATGTTATTGCAAATTGGCTTATTTTCTAACAAAGGAGCGATTCTATCATTTAAAGTTCAAATGAGCAGTTGGATTCTAAGACACAAACCATCTTGCGGGACAAATCCCACTTTGCATGAATACGAAAATAATAATCAAACAAGTGTAGACTTTAACAAGATTAATCTTTTAGAACAGAACTCGACATAACTGTATACTTTTATTATCAAACGGGTGTGTGTGGGGAAGGTGGTGGGGCAGTGAGTGAGTAAGATTAAGAACCTTTCCGAGAAGTATTTCGTTGGTGTACGGCCCATAGACATCGGAGGTGTCAAGAAAGGTAACCCCAGAGTTGATGGCATGGTGAATGAGCTTGATCATGTCCGGCTCGGGCTTCGGTGTGCCGTAGAAAGCTGACATGCTCATGCATCCAAGTCCTTGCGCAGACACTTCCAGTCCCTGTGAGCCCAGCTTGATTCTTGGCACTTTTACACTGCTTTCTGCTGCCATTTTACTGTGGAATCTGAAGGATTTTTTCTGCGATCACTGTGTAAGCCAAAGGCAGAGGAAGAGATATGAATTACAAAATATGGGGATTCCCCTTAGCTTATATAGATTAAAGAAAACCGCCATTGATGGCTGCTGATAACTTTCTTTTTCGTACTTTTCTTCATTTGGACTTTAATTTGGGAGGATAATGTAACTGCTTACGTATGAAATGGGGAAAAATGGTTAAAGTTGAAATATATGGTGGTGACACATAATTAAGGTAGATAATTAGTACAAAGTAGGACACATAAAAAAAGTGGAGAAAATTCATTCGAGGACGGGAGGACACGAATAGGAAGTGGCTTGGAATTGTCATTAAGCCTCTGTTTGATCCACACGTTAGTACAAAGTAGGACACATAAAAAAAAGGTGGAGAAAATTCATTCGCAGACAGGAAGACACGAATACGAAGTGGCTTGGAATTTTCATTAAGCCTATGCTTGATAACACGTTCTCAAAAATGTTCATTCTTTCAAAATTCATTTTTAATCATACATTTTTTAATAAAATAATATTACAAGTAAATTTAAAAATTTTCCTTATTTTTTAACTACATATTTTCTATCATATCATATCATAAAATATATTTTCTTCTTCATAATGTACATCAAACCTCAATTAAACTAGAGGTCACTGAACTTTTACCCTAGTTGCAATCGGGACATTGAACTTCAATTCAAAGTAATCAAGCTATTAAACTTTGTTTTCAAAAGAAATCAACCTCCCCTCCCCACCCCACCCCAGTTCAATTCCTTCTCGATGCTAGTTTGATTAATTATTTTGCTTCTAATTTAGTTGTGTTCTTTTTTAAAAAAATTCTTAAGAGTGTGTTTGTGATACATTCTTTTGAAAGAATGTGATATTGAATAATAGATTGATGGAGAATGTGTGGTTAAAAATGAAGGAAAAGTTATTGATGTGATGGAAAATATTATTTTATTAAAAATATTATTTTATTAATTCACACTATAATTTTTATTTCTTACACCACATTTTAATTATATTTAAAATTCTTAATCTTTACTTATTATAACACTTATGTCCCTAACAATTTTTCATATCATTTTTATCCTAAACTTTTCATTTGTTAACAAATTTTGTATTTGATAACAGTTTTATATCCAAAAGTCTATTGATATGAAGTAAAATAACATTTTTTTTTATCACAATTCTAAAAAAAAATAATAATAAATAAAAATTGTAAAAATATTTTTCACTCATTTCAAAGCATGAAAACAAAATATTTTTATAGAAATTATCATCAAGAACAATACATACTGATTAATGGAATGTTGAAAATAAAAATTCGATTGAAAAAAAAGTTAAGAAAATAATTGTTACAATGAGCAAAAATTGAGGAGCTTACTATAATTAAGTTGTGGAGGTAACAAATAAAAGTTGTGGTGTCAATATATCCATCCTAAAAAATATTTACCTTACATTTCAAATCATGCTCATAAAAATTTCGACAGAAACCTTAAGAAATGATAAGGTATGCTAATTAATAAAGGTTAATGATAATAGTGTGACGTAAAAATTTTGAATATAGGTACTAGAATGATCTTTTGAAATCTAAAAATTGCAATTATGATTGTGTTACATATACATAATGATTGACATACATATGATGTGATAAGATATGATTGTATCGAACGCTGACGGATCTAGGGAGTCCGGTCTACCCCTAGCCCATTGAATGTTTTTTTAGTAGAAAAAATTTTTTTTTTTTATGTAAAAAAAAA